GTGTGTGTGTGTGTGTGTGTGTGTGTGTGTGTGTGGTGGTAGGGACCAGAGCGGGGGGCAAATGTGGGCCTTTGGGGACCTGTTCTTTTTGCTTCTTGAGATCAATGCCACTCCTAGGAGCCATCAGCAACTCCCCAACCCCTAGCACTCCTCTCCTTATAAGTCCACCTGCATCAGGCAGAAAGCAGAAGGACCAGATCCATATCTCTGGAATCCTCCCTTGTTAGTGTCATTCTGGCTGGTGTCTCCCTACAGTACAAGGTCTCCAAGCTCTCCTGAAGCTGATACTCCTCCTTTCCCATATCCGAGCAGAAGAAGCCCTCCTCTTTTCCACCAGAGACAGACCTTGCCAGGAATAAGTAAACCTTTACCTCTGGCAGAGAGTGGTAGGGCGAGAGTCCTTGAAAGGAGTGAGGGAAAGGGTCAGCCATTTTTCCCCACACTGTGCACCAAGTTAAGAGGCACGCACATTCTCCAACTTTGCTTTATTGGAAGAGGCAACAGCAGCTGTAGCCCCAGGGCCTAGGTGGAATGGGGGTGAAATGGGGACTGTACAGAATGAGTTTTAAATGCTAGGAAAGAATCCACTCCTTCCTCCAGTTCACAGGAAGGCTGCCAAGGCCGGTGCCTGGAGCCTGAAAATGGGGATGAGGGAAGGAGAGAAAGTTGTGACAGAGGACGAGCCTGACCCCTCCAAACGTTTCCTGTCCTCCCACCTAGATGGGCTCCTGTTTCTGCTCTCCATCCCGGCACACACACCACCACCACCAAATGCCGGGGCTTCCTTTCTGCTTGCAGCTCCGGGTGGTGAAGCTGTTCCCCAGCTCCCAGCAGAAGAGAGGGCCCGACCTCCGCCCCTCTCGGTTCAGCTTTGACAGGCGCGCACTCCGAAGCCGGCGGTCCCTTCCCGAGCCGCTCTGCTCCTCCTTAGCCCGGCTTCCTCCTCTCCCCGGCCACTTAGACCTCGGAGCGTCCCCGGAGCGCCAAGAGTCCACCCAGCACGGCCGCCTCCGGGAGCGGGAGGGTCTGCCCCACCGCCAGGCTCTCGAAGGTTAGGATGGCGCCTTGGGTGGGACCGGCTGAAGGTGGGTGAGGAGGGGAGCGGAGGCGAAGGGCGAGCGGGGGCGCGGGGGATGAGGCCCTGCTCAATCCGGGTAGATGATGAAGCCAGAGAAGGTGCTGTACTTGTTGGTGTTACCGCCATGCACCTTCCCGCCGTCCAGCTTGATGAAGACTTCATCGCCCACATCCAGGTGCAGGATGACGCTGTTGCTGGCGTAGTCGTAGTTCTGGTCCGCGTCCTGAGCAATGGCGCTGGCCCGGACCTAGCGGGGGAGAACAGAACAACCCACTCACGCCCGTGCGGAGCTGAGGGTGGAGAGAAGCGTCGGGCGGAGTAGGCGCAGCTGGGCCTGTGAAGGCGGCTCGAGGGTAGCAGGCTGCAGGGGCTGGGGAGGACAAGGAGAAGGCAGGAGATCGCTGAGCTTCCCAGGCACTGCCATTTACCAGCTGTGCGACTCGGCCAAGTTTCACGCCTGCTCTGGTCGTCAACGTGAATTATAAGATGGGAGGTAATAATAGAGCCTACCTCATAAGGTTATTAGGATTAAGTGAGTTACTACGTGTGAAATGTGTTAGAATAGTACTTAGCACCTAGATAGCACTATATAGGGTTTGCTATTATTTAAACAATAAAATTAGGCTGTAGGATAACTTCTAACATTCTGAACCTGCTCTGACCTCCTAAACTTGGATTCCCTCCCCTCAGTGATAGGGCACAGGTGTGTCTGTATGTATGCAAGCAAGGGTGCGGGCCATGGGAAGGTGCAATGATGCATTCTCGCCTCTGGGTGCCCTTTCCCCTTCTAGCCCCCACCTGCGCCATGACATGGGGGTCGCCTTCTGCCCCAACAGGTAACCCCTCCTTGCCTCTGGCCTCGCTGCTGGTCGCCTCCGGCGCCCAGCCCCTTCCCCAGCCCCCCCTCTTCCCCTCCCGCGGGGGCTGGTTATTAACTCATTAATTATTCATCATTATTCTAATCACTATTTACCGTCCCCAGGGCCGCAGCGCCCGCGCCGCAGAATACAGAGTGGGAGCCGCGGGCCCCCGCTCCCTCAGAAACCGGCACACTCTAGATAGACACTTGCCCCCTCCAACTGCTCACCGACACCCTGCATAGACCACACACACCTACTCAGTGCCACATGCACATAGACGCTGCTCTATTTTCACACCTTGGCACCCTGCACCCACAGAACCTCACATCACACACACACGCTCTCACTCCCTTACACACATACAGCCCTCACTCCCATACAGACACACATACACACTCTCTTTTCTTGGTTCCTGGGGTGACCCTGCTGGGAGGAGACCCCAATGCAGTGCCTACTAGTCCTGGAGCTGGAGGGTGCGGCAGCCGGCAGCCGTAGCAGGACCTGGGTTCGGACACCAAGACCAGCAGGCCTGATGCACCACGGTCAACACCACCCCATGGTGCGGGGCATTCGGAGGTCACTGCTCAGCCCCAGTCTTACCTCCTGCGATTTGTGGGGCCCAGGCACCTCCCCAACCCCCGCCCCTGCGGCTTCTTGTTCCCTCTATGTGTGTCCCGGCCCTCCAGCTGAGTCCTTGGAGCTATTCTCCCAAGCCAAGGTGGCAGTGACTCCGACTCTGACCACAGGGGCAGGGAGTAGCAGAACCTGGAGGCCAGAGGTTGCCAGGGAAGATGTGGGGCCTACAGAGCCAGGCCTGGGGCCAAAGCTTCAGCTTGATCTGCCCTTTGCCTCTTTCCCCCTCCAAATCCCTTCTGTCATGCCTCCTGGCTGGCCCCTGAGCTGCCACATCATTTCCACCTCTGCCTACTGACTCAGTATTAGTATTAGGGTAAGGCCAGCTGTAGAATTGGTCCCAGGCCCTGGGCGAATGCGTTCTTTTTTATGTTCTACTCAAAAATCCAAGCTAAATGCCCCCACATGAGAACAGCTGCTGACAGCCCATGGCCAGAGATCCGGATTCCATTCTAATTTGAAGGAGCCAGACTCCAGGTAACTCGACCATGGTGAGGCTGAGAAACCCAAAAGCCAGAAGACCTGTCTCAGGAGAGAGGGTGACCAAAGACAGGATAACTGGCAGGGAAAGACACCAAACAAGTTGGTTGCCTATATAGTTGGAGTGTGAAATAGCAGCTGTAGAGACATTAAGCTTTGTGTCCCGAGTTCTGATTCTGACACCATTCCTAATGCTCGTTGAGACCCTGGGCAGGTCATTTCCTTTCTTTGGCAGCTAATTCCTCTTTGGCTAGATGAAAGGATTCATAAGTTCTTGGCAGCCCTGCGTTTCTAGACTCAATGACGTTGTTGGGAGAGGGGTTCGAATGCAGCCCTCCAATGTAATGAGTGCAGGGAGATCTAGAAAGCTACCCTGTCGCCTCTGGGCCTGGGGTGGGGGCATCTCACCTGTCCATTCTTCATCAGGTCGGCCCACATGCTGGTGCCGTCACCGCCGCGCATGAGCACATGGTAAGCGAAGAAGTAGACACCTGGCATGGGGCAGGTGAACTTGCCGCTGGCCGCCTCGTAAGCGTTTCCCACGTTGGTCACCACGTCGTCGAAGCGCAGCACCTCATAACCTTCGTGTGGCCGCCGCAGACCCGCGTAGAAGGCAATGCGAGGCACGTAGCCGGCAGGGGGCGCCACCCCGCCAGGGCCTGGGCCGGGAGGACCTGGTGGACCTGGCCTGCCCGGCTCTCCTGGAGGCCCTCTGGGACCTGGGGGTCCCGGTGGCCCTCGCAGACCTGCCTTCCCGCGCCTGCCCACCTCTCCCTTGGCGCCGGGAGGGAAGGGGGGCACGGAGGAGGGCGCGCCGTCGGGTCCAGGGCCTCGAGGCCCGTGTGGGTCGCACACCATGCGGCAGCGACCCAGCATCTCATAGTGCGCCGGCCCACGGGAGCTGTGCACCAGCAGCGGAATGGCCACCAGCAGCAGCAGCACCATGGCCACCCCGACGGCCGCGCCCGCCACCCGCTTGCGGCGGCTCAGCCGCGACGCGGCCAGGGCCAGCAGATCCTCCTCACTCTTTGGCGCAATGGCGGCGGAGGCCCGGGGCTCTCCGCGGGCCCCGGAGGCGGTGGCCGGGCTCGCGCTTGGGTCGGGACCCCCC